CCTGTTGTACCGCAAAGGCTAACATGAATCGAACTGTACTGAACTTTGCCACTGGAGAGAAAACCTCTTCAAAGTCAATTCCGTACCTCTGGGTAAATCGCTTCGCCACAGGGCGAGCTTGCTTCCGACTTACATTGCCACGTGCGTTCGTTTTGTTCATGAAAACCCACTTCGACTTCACCGGTTTCTTTCCTTCTGGAAGCGAAACCAGTTTCCACGTTTGCTTCTCGAGCTGCGCAATCTCAGCGTCCATGGCTTTCTTCCAGTCATGTCGTTCACTGCACTGTAATGCCTGGTGGTGCGAGAGGGGTGCTTGAGATCCATCATTTCTCATATGATGAAGAAGCGCAAACATCATTGTCGAATCATGACGACTGTAGAAACGTGTCGGTTGTGTACCTCTCCCGGATCTGCGTGGTCCCAGGGGACGATATGTGACCTCTCCAGGAGTTCCAGGTACAGTATCTTCCTCCGTGTCTGCATCTATGTCGTCGGTGGTGTTGAAGGGAGACGTTGGTATTTCGACTTCAGTATCCGAGGTTTCGTCGTTTAGTGCGCTTTCGAATACTCGCGTGGACGTGATGTCTATGATCACGTGTGTGCAAGTTACATCCTCCACAAAGTGTGCATCTCTTGTGACGATGGCTTGCCTCGAACTGGGAATACATATCCTGTATCCATTACCTACGGACACGCCAACGTAGAAGCTCTTTTCAGCTCGGAGCGCAAGCTTGTCGGTGCCCCTCGGCTTCAGGATATGAACATATGGTACTGAATCGAATTTGCGGTTGTGCCCGAGTGTGCCCGAGTTTTGGCTTCTTTCAACTACGGCCTCATAAGGAAAATTATCAGGAATACTGCAAGCTGGCGTGTGTACGCGATTACGTAGGTAGTTTGCGTGATACACGGCTTCCGCCGAAAGCGCATCCGTGTTGGGAACGTTCCCAGCGGAGGCTAAGAGAGTTCGTGCCATGTCCATAACTGTTCGGTTTAGCCGCTCAGCTTTGCCGTTGGACTCTGGAGAGTATGGGGCACTGAACTCCTGTCCAATTTCTTTTTCGTCCAACCAGTCGTTGAGCTTTCTACTAGCTAACTCCTTTGCATTGTCAGACCGAATGCGAGCGACGCGAAAATTCTTCTCTACAAGCGGGGCTGCGTTTGAGCTCTTTGACAGAGTCCTGTTTAGCTTTGGGAGCCTCACCTTTAATCCTTAGAAATTTGACAATAGAACAGGCGGTACAGTCGTCGTAGACAAGCATGAAGTACCGGCGTCCGGCGAGTGAAGGCGTCGACAATGGTCCCACAATTTCCATGTGCAATAGTTCGAGGGGTTGAGTATGTTATCGACTGTTAGATGAGGGTTGAGGTACGCGAGTTGGCTTGGCCATCTTGCACGGTTCACAGTGTGAGAGTTTCTGCACTTTCTGAAGTGCTATGTCCTTGACCATTGGGAGTGTTTTCTCCATCGTCCTTTGCGAAATGTGGCCCATTCGAGCATGCCAATAATCAAAAGACAGTAGTGAACGCGGAGAGTGCGTCTTTTCCGGGCATATGGTTGCCTCGTACAGTCCCCCTTGTTGGTGCTCAAAGCCTTGCACAAGCACCTTCGACTCGTCCCGTGGTGTCACTTGAAAAATTCCGTTTTGGTTGCCATCTGTGTCGAACACCACCTTCAATTCTGCTTTTCGCATGCGACTTGCAGAAAGTAAGTTGCGTACTAGAGAAGGCACATAGAGCACTTCTTCCAGTCGAATCGTTTTAGTTTCTGCCCCTACTGTACTTTGGTAGACAATTGATCCTGAGCGAAGCACAGCAGTGAGCTCTCCAGTGCCGACTGATACATTGCGTCCTTCATACGTTTTCAGTTTGTCAAACGCTGACCTATCGTTGCACATGTGGGCTGATGCCCCTGAGTCTATGTGCCACTTGTCCTTGAAAGGTCCCTCCAGAATTATTCGAGAACATTTTTCAGTAGACATGAACGAGACATCAAAATACGCGGCTTGGTTCTGCCTCGCGTCTTCATTCAGCTTCTGAGACTTGCGAGGTGGACGACTTTGTCCGCAGATTTGGTAGATCTTCCGACGGTTGGCTCGCTTTACAGCTCGCTGCGGTCTGTAGGATGTGCTTTCGAGATTATAGTAGCATTTGGTCTTGTTATGACCACTGCGGCTACAGAACGTGCACTGTGCGCTGTTGTTCCTTACGTGTAGTGCAGCATTTCCCTGAAAACCAATCTTCCATTCTTGCCCTTCGCACTTCTCAGCTTCTGCAGAGATGAGAAAAGCTACTTACTCATGGTACGATTTACCAGTGGCCCGGATGATACCAGCACAGATGTCAAACTTTGGTGACAATCCCCTGAGCAGTGCGCGGCGCTACTCTATATCCGGTATGAGGTGGCCGATGGAAGCCAGTTTATTCTAGAGGTCCTGTAGTCGATTCACAAATAGACTGATGCTTTCTTCTTGAAGCATTTGTGCGTTCTGCAACAGTTGCAGGTACACATCTATTCTTGCCTCCGACACTATAGCATTCATTTCTTTCAAATTGTCTCACATCTTCTTCGGGTCTCGTATGGTGATCAACGCCGTGCTGACAGAATCCTCGATAGAAAGGATAATATTGGTCCACGCCAAGGCACTTCTACGCTTGAATTTCGCGCGGTCAGTCGCATCAGAGAGTATCTGTTCTTCCCCTGTGACGATGTGCCATAATCCTTTCGCGCGCAAGATAAACTCGAGTTTGAGTGACCAAAGGAAGTAGTTGTTCGCGTTGAGCGGAGTGAGGTGGTACCTGGAAGTATCCACCGTCTCCTGTCGGGTGTCATCCATCGCGGTAGATGCCCGAAATGTTATATCAGAGATGTGCGGTAATGCGTGTAGCGTCTGGGCACCAAAACCTGTTGAAGTTGTGTATTTTTATTCCTTAGAGTTGCTACACAAGACCTAATTTATACTACTTTGTATCTGCAGATACCATCTCAGTGCGTTCCAGATTATGTGACGTAGTCGGCCTCAATTCTGCCGAATTGAGGGAATCAGCACTGTAACTTATTAGATAGGGCCATTGACTATGTGATAATAACTATACACGTACACACGTAGTACAAATCACAAACGGATATCGTGTCACCTACGATGGCAAGCAGCCGCCGTACTTAGTGTAGAGGGAACCGGATCAGAGAGTAAACGAAGGGTATCGTTCCTGCACCACAGACTACGGCTCCGATTATACCGAATCCACTCTATCTTCGCTGTCAACACAGTACAGAGATACCATGTTTTGTCTTCCCTTCGTAGAACCAGGGAGGAAGAGTTGAGGTGTACAGGTTTATCCTCAACAAAATTCAACGGCCTTAACAATAGAGAAAAACGACACTATTGTAGGGAAATAATCCATGTCATCTGTGCTGACCGATGGCATGTCATGCCCGCGTAGGGCGTCAATTCATTTGGCTTTCTTGTGGTAAAAACATCTGATGGGAACAGGTCGTGAAGGTTGAAGATGTTGTAGTTTTATTCTGTTAGAGCTGCAGTACGATACTTGGATATATACTGCATTGCATGTGCAGATGCGTTCTCAGTGCATTCCAGTTTGTATAACGTAATCAACCTCAATTCCGCTGAATCGAGGAAATTGGTACTGTAGCATGTCAGACATGGGCCGTCAACTTTGGGGTCGATTATACTGAACCTACTCTAACCTACGTGTCGCTGTAGTCCTATTACTCTTGATGCAGGATGCGCTCCAGCAGTACACCATACTGGCATTCCCATCAACTAAAACACATTAAATTCACGGCAGCATCTCGAACCTGGCTCCTCGCAGCGGTCGCCCTTGCATATACTCTCGAGCTTCACGAGCCGCCCGTTCACTAAGAAATAATTCTCTGTTCGCGTTCCGGTCGGTCGTCGGGGAACAACACTATTGATAGATCTATTCGAGCTGATGTCAGTGTGATCAGATATGAGTTTGAAACGTTCAAAGTGACTCTAATTTTTTAGATCCCCGGAAAAGTCTATCTGGCCGATCCTCTAACCAAGGCAAACAACCCTCTCAGTCAAGCTCTGGAACTAACCCTCTTCTCTAGAGAAATAACTATATCTCTTAAAGACTCAATGTTCCGAGATACTGTTCATTTTACGGGTTGAAGGCAAAGAAGAGCGAGAGAGGAGTATTGCATATTCTTATTCGAATTCATGAGTTTGGATTATCATGGCCACATTCTTGGCTGACACAAAATTGTGAAAGCAAAACACTGAAGTGTACTTATGCCAACATTTTGTAAATGGAACATCCGGAGGGCATTCCGGCGATCGAGCACACAGATTTCTGTTCATGCAACTTCAGATTTTTAAAGTACTTGGTTCTTGTTCAAGCTACCACTGCTAAATTGCTACCCCCTTTCCACAACTTCTCATAATTATAGTTGATTGCCCGTATCTAACATGATATGCACAGCACCGATTTCCTCAATTCACCCGAATTCAGCTTGATTACGTCATACAATCTGGAATGCATTGAGGACGCATCTGCACATACAATACTGCATATACACAGTTCTCGCAAGCAACTCTATCTGAATAAACACAACAGCATCATCCGCCTTCTCAGTCCTGACCATTGTCTGACATTTGATGTGTAGTGCAAAGAGGGGCCACTATTTTGTGCACAGAGAGGGTCGTTGTCATGTGAGGGACATGTCCAGGTGGCAGTGTTCCCACCGCAGGACGCAGCATCTAACATGTCGGGAAAAACTGAAGAGATACCATAGCAACCTAGTGTACGAAAAAGGACGGAGCACTTTACAATGTTAAGATACAGTACTCTCCGTATTGATTTATGACCCATGGTGAACTTATATCTAACAGGTACATTAACCTCGGAGTACACGTGGATCTGAGTTCTTAATAAAGAAGTTGCCATAAAAGGCACCATTATTCCGCAGAAAGGCGGCAGCCGTTGTTTTCTGATAGCCTTAGATTGCATGGGTGAAGTTTTGGTATGGAAACAAGACGTTTTTATTTGAAGAAGCATTGATACTGCTTCTCATCGCCATATTCTAAATTAAAACGGGGTACATCGCGATGCCCACACACACAGCCAACTAAGGATGCCCTTTGCAGGGAATTTCACGAGCAACTACACTTCATGAAAGGGATTTGAAATTGTTTTGCGATGTATTGGCATTGAGACTGGAAACAGCTGTAGTCGACTCCCTGGCTAGCAAAGAATTTGATAATCCCATTGTGACGGCTGGAGTCCATTCTAACAACTGCACTCCAGGTGGTGCGGGTAGCTCAGCGAGCAGTCCTGACGATGAATCTAGCAGCAATACCATCCCTTGTACTTTTTACCGTGTGAATAGTAATAGCAACGGTGACGGCAGTGGTGATACCTGCGCTTGTAGCAACGGCAGCCACCTCGTTCCGCAACTTCCATGTCGTCCGCGGCATCTCCCTGAATGGAGATGTCTTTCTCGAAGCGCTTGGCATTCACTGCAAAGGCGACTGTGACCAGGGCCAAGAGGGCCAAGAGAAAACATGTACGGCGATGATACATGTTGAAGAGGTAGACCTGGTTTTTCGGATGGTTTGATGGTTTTCGGCTTGGATCGGAGAAAGGCTTGTGGTGCGAGGGATGTTGAAGCGCAAAGTAACTGGTTCGTGCATGTCTTATATAGATGCAGAGCTGTCCATGATGTTCAGGGATGACACGATTCCAGCTCGTTTGGTGCGCAGTGTTGATTTTGAGAGATGGCCAATCATTGTAAGTTCTGATATCAGTTGTCCAGACCTCATCTAAAATGAGACCGGATGTTGTGCAGGTGCTACCCTCATTCAAACAAAATAAAAGCGTGTAACAGTTGAGGCCTCTATTGATGGCACAAGCAGACGAGGACCATGACCCCAAGAGAAATTGCTTCCTCACAGATGCTTCAAGCATGTCCCGATGGTCGATATACAAACGGGTATCGAGAGGACCCTTCTCCACAGACCGGGACAGATCCCACAGCACGACAAAGGACCGAAGCACTGTCAGTCCTCGAATAAAAGGAAAGGATGGCTTTAGACACAAATGATAATAGCAAACGATGCCACTGTAGAAGAATGAAGGAGAGCATTGATTACGATACGATTAGATCCGAACCGGACAATTCCGCCGGCAGACCCTTGTCGTGATACATGGGTTGCTATTTAATGGGGAAATTCTCTTTGAAACTATAAGACTGCGTCTGCTGAAACTGTCATAAAGCATACGAAATTAATATCCGGTTCATCAAACGAACGGAACTGGGAATTGGGTTAAGAAGATGCGACCAAGTTGTAAAATAGAGGAAGTAGAGTCATTTTATCAGCGAAAAACGGATCCACTTTCCGAAAGTCTAATATTAATCTACTTATCCCAAGCAGAAAGACATGCAGAAATGAAGGAAAATCGGGTCCTCTTCTTGGGACCGACAGGTCCTTTCCTCGTTAAGATGCGATGCGACGCCGAACGTACTCGACACTTGTGGATACATAGAATACAACAATGCTTCTCATCGTTTGAGAACCGAGGGAACTTCCTCAGCACAGAACATGCGCTCGCCGTTTGGCCTATTGCCTACTCAAGCATGGGCGAGGGCGGTGATATTTAGGTGTTTGGGATAGTGAATTGCCCTCTCAAGACCTCGACGCCAACCCCGATTCGTACCATGGCGCACGGCTAACTCGAACAATGTAATAGTGAGCGCCAATGAACAGCATCGATACATCTGCTCTCGGTCAACTAGATGCAATAATGTGTGTTGCACAGACGATGCGAAAGATATTGAGTGAGAAAGGACACTAGCCAGGAACCTCTTGCTTCGCACTGACTCTATTCACCAAATCTCCATTTGAAGTACCCCTGTTCGTCTGTCCAACCGCCAGGTTGCGTGTGAGCCAGCAGAATAGCGTCTCTGCCACATGTTCAAATGTTGAGAGATGAAAACCTCCTGGATACGTGCAACGAGAAACCATTGAGCAGCAAGAGAATATGCTGCCCAAATCTAAAACTATTCATGTCAAAGATGTTTTCTCCCTCAACATTGTTATCGTTGTCCTGTGCCGAAAAGAACATAGCCTCCCTTACCAAAACCCGACACTGCGGCGCTTGCAAATGGCTTTCAATTCAAACCCCTTTGTCGCATACAAAAAGGCCGTGTCCTTAGTACGGCAAACTTTCTCGGGTGTGTATGAGGTGAGCGCGAGAGAGGGAATATCCCGATAACCAAAGTGGTTTCCTGTATGGGGAGAAGTTCAGCAAAGGGCACGGATCCCAGCGGAGCGCTCGTCCTGCTTGCGGACACGAAGATATCCTAACATCTTAGAGCATCCCCACCGTATCAGCCCAAAGACCAAAATTTGTTGTGCTGTGATTGGTCAGACTAAAACACGGTTTTGGGATCATTCCCAAAAATCTGTCATCCCCACTGGTCTTCCATCCATAATTCCGACCAAACCAAAAACTGGCCCCTCCCCTCGCGCGCGCCATCCAACGTCCTTCCCTACAGGTTCCGATTCTGGCTCGAGTTCCGACTCGAAGCTAGAAAATTATGCCGCAGCAGTTGTTATTAGCTGTGCGACGACAATGACAATGATGTCAGTATTGTCCAAACTTCCGGGGCGGAGAGGCGGTTCTCGCAAGGGCAAAAAGGGAAACAGAGATGTACGGCGCGTGCAGGCTGCATTTAGAATAGACAGGGACTACTTTTGGCGCCATACATGTAGTGCAGGCGAACCAACCTTCTCTGAAGCCATGTTTGAGCGCTTCTATCGAATGCCTCGAGAGATATACGAAATGTTACGTGCTGACGTTTGCGCCGTGAATTCCTATTTCATCCAGAAATCGGATGCGCACTGTAGACAGTGTTTCGGGTTTTCCGCTAATTTGAAGCACTCTCTGGCCTTGCCCAAAAGTTTGGGATTCTAGACCAATGCGTTTTGCTTTGGGCTAGATTTGGGACCAAGCACAACTTTTGGGCTTGGATTTGGGCTTTGGGCTGGGCGGTCGGTGGGGTTAATTTCAGACCAAAATCTGGACCAAACTCGGATTTTGGGATTTGGGCTGAACGTTGGGGATACTCTTATGAAGACTCATTTTCTGCGAATTATGAGATGCCAACACGATCGAAAAAATGCAAGGATGCGTTTCCTTCTTTCAGTGGGCGTTCGAACTGAAAATCGGTGTTCAAGGCAGCTCAACAGCTCAACTGCCTATCATCGCACATGCGCCATGTCGAAAAAAAGATATACGGCCTCTTCATCCGACAGCACGGCATGACAGCACGGCATGATCTGCGGTGAGTGGTATTTGCAGTAAAGACAGGTGTTGCGAAAAATAGCTTTTGTTGGAATTGTGTGAACTGGAGACCGATGATTCCTCGTTATCTCGTCGTCGCTCGTGGGTTAAGTCTGTCCTGTATAGGACAGGCTGTCCTGTGCGGTCGGACAGGAATCGCGTGATGGACTGCCAGGCATGGCGGAGGGCGTTTTTGCGGATTGGGTAACACTGCGGCGTGAGACAGGGACGCAGATTTGGAAACAGGGCACTCCTAGTGTCTATTTTGACATGGAGTTTGCCTCATATGAGGCCAGCTTTTTTTTGCAAAAATATATGCATTAAATCGAAACTTTATAAAGTCAGTTTGGACGCCATTTCTTTAACGTTTATTCCCTCGGCAATAACATCTTGCAAAACATTGGGATAGCAGTTGTGGATACACAGAAAGACTAAGTATCCAATGAAATTTCAATGGTCTGTTGATATTTTAAACATGCGTTTTAGTTTCGAAGATATCAACACATAACGTTTTGAGGTTGGACAAAAAGGCTTCTTTTGTAGACATTCTAAAAATGGCTGGAAAAGACGTGCAGATCTCACCAAACTCTACTCTTCCGCAAAGCAGAAGTCAACTGCGGTGGCGAGAGTATCTTATTCCTTCTTGTTGAGAAGGCACAAGTAGAGAAAAAATAAGTTGAAAAGTGACCTCATATGAGGTCATATGTCCAATAGACACTAGGTAGGAAGTACTACGGTCTAGCGAGGTAACACGGGGGGAAGGTGAGGGGAGAAAGTGGAGTCTTTTGTAGAAACAGGGGGCATTGGACAAGGATAGACGGTGTGCGACAGACACAAGAAGGGATCTATCCCTGGTTCATTTCAGCGGAGATGAGAAGGGAGAAAAGGCCTTGTTGTCGGTGGCTATCAAAAAGACACGTTGTCGAGGCCGTATGGAGGCAGGCATGCACGAGGTGGCGTCTGGATATCTCGGGGTTGGGACATGGCATGCAGGTGCGTCCTTTGGCAGCAGTGTACTGTAGTATCAGGGATGTACTACCTCCGGCAACAGTGCTTTGATGCTTTGAGATCCAGTCTTAAGACAGTTTGGACGGGCTTGTTTTTGGACGGTCGCGGGCGTCTCATGTGCAAAACGGCTTCTCATTGGTCTATTTTCAACATTCCTTAACATGTACATGTCAATGCACTGCAGATTAATTTAACCCCCTGCATTACATCTCTGCCCTAACCGATGCCACGAAACAAAACTTAATTGGCTATCGCAGATCACATAAATCTGAAGAAGATCCATTTCAAACCTCCAACTTTCAAATCATCACGGCGCCAAACTTGCAATCTTGGAGATACGAACTGTGCACCATTCTCCCGCCATAGGAGACCCTTTCATAGCTGGGAGGGTAGTACCTGTTCTTCCTTGAAAGCAATCCTCATCCGAACATTTCGCCCTCTGCAACTTGCATCTCCCCACCAACGAGCAAAGCAAAAAGCAAGAGCCGCCTCGCGACCCATTTTATTCTCAACTTTGCTTGCCTCGACTACTGTTTTCACCACACCTATTTTTGATCATCACCTTCCCCTCTGTCGTCTCTGACTTTCTCTGCCTTTTCTGCAAGCAGGATGACTACAAGCGGCCTTCCCGACGCAGCCCCCGCCTTCTACGAGTGGATTCAAATCGCTATGATCCCGCTGCATGCATCGACAGTCGTCGTTGGCGCTTTCATGAAAGCAGTGAGTTGGCATCCGTTCTCAGCTGCGAGGACATTCGTGAAAAGAATATCACAGACGCGCCAGAGATCACACAGAGTCATCAAAACCACATGTCCAGGAGCGAAGTACTACTTCGTTCAAGCGCAGAGACCTCTCCAGTGCCCAACGCAGTAGCAGTTGGTCTGGGCGGATCGGCAAACGGTACGGAATGTGAAATGTTGAGAGCGGTAACGACCGGAGTTTCCGATCCTCGTGTGCAGGGGAGTTGCGAACCAGAAAGCGAAACACCCTATGTCTCGAAAAGTCCGACAGTACCCCCGAAAAACTGGCCGGAGACATCCCTAATCCTACACTATTCTGATGCCGTGCGCGGGCGCAGCGACCAGACAACACCGCCACGCGACATTGATGAAATCTCCGGTGATCTCAGGGGCAGGACTCAAGGGCCGAATAGAAATGCAAATGGGCATATTTCTGACAAAGAGGGCGGAGCTGGAGAGATGAGAATATCTGAAGCTGATGAAACCTCTGCAGTTTACGGATTTCTCTGGACTTTGTCGGTCAAGGATTTGAGGCCAGTTCTTAAACACTGGGGTTGTAAGCAAGGAAAAAATAAGCTCGCTTACATATCAAGGGCCTTCTTGTATTTAAAGACGGCGGTCTTGTCTGGTAAAACGTTACAAGCAACTTTACACACACATCCACAAACAGCACGATTTTCTGCCTGGCTTCAAAGAAAGCTTGAAAGGGATGAGCTCTCCCCTATGATGATCCGACGAGCGCCGCAAGAGTCAACTTTATTGCAAGAAGTCTCATTTGGATAGGCAGCTGCGTATAAGCGACTTAAGCTGTGGCTAGAACGTGCGAGGTGTCGACGCAACTCAATTGAGAGGTCAGGGCGTACGCCGATAAATCAAGACCATCAAGGACAACGTGCACAAAATACAGAATCAGCAACTTATCCCTCGTACAGTCCATCTTCTCAGCCAGAACAAATTACCTATGAAATTCCCAGTGCAGGAGCCACCCCCCGTTCAGCATTAGCGAGTTTTCGCGCCTGTGTCGTTATGAGAGATGATGAACTTGCAAAGGCCGCATTAGCAAGTACAGGACAAGAGATCAGTAGAGCCCAGTTGGACACGGGTTTTACACGGGACTCATACTGGGGAATTATAGAGTCACGCTTTAACTCTCAAATAAGGTTGAGGAGAATGCTTTTCCAGTGTTGACGACGCAGATTCAACCTTTTTGCCGCCCTGTCATCGCTGTGCATCGTTTTTAAAGGATACGTTTATGGAAAGCAGGGCGCAATTCACAGAAATTCTGCAGAAATGGAGAGCGTCTGGACAGAACGATCCCGATAACTTCAGAAACTTTCTCACCTATGGCGCGAATGGTCAGTTCAAAGCGATTGGAAAAAGGTTGATGGTACTGTTTACTTGTACAAGACAAGGCACAGATCATGCCGAAGAGAACTTTACAAACATGTGCACAAAGTTTATACCCCATGGAGGGGGATATGATGAAAGTGGCAGCGGCCAAGGGAATGGGGATGGATTCGCCAAAGGAAAGAAACGCAAACGCCGTGACACCGAGAGTGGGGAGTCTATGAAAACATCTTTCAAGCAGTTGGTCAACGTTGTGACAGATTCTCATCGAATGAGAGCGGAGTCACAGTGCATCATGGATGAGAGAAGAGTTGAGAAGAGAGAGGAAGCTGGTTCCAGCAAAGAGCTGCGGGACTTAGAGGAGCAAGGAAAGCTCTTGCAGCTCTTTAGTTTCGCAAATGACACGTATGCTCATGCTGCGGGAGGTTTGGAAGATGGTTTCAAGGCTACTGGAAACGCGATGTTGAAGGACGCGACGAAGGAATTTATGAAATTGTTAAGCTCAACGCTGCAGTCCAGGTCTCAAAAGAAATTTCATAGCGGTGGAATAGAGAGGAGTGATGGAGTTGCAGCTGCTGTGGGACCTGCAAAAGACAGCGATACGACTGGGTCTTTATCAATTGATGGTACTGTCTTAAGAAATGACGTGCCAACGGTGCAAACGGATGCCGTTCTTTCTCACCGTGAGTAAAGAAAGTACGCACCCGGCAACAAGTTGTGGCCTCGAATTTCTGTAATCCTTGCGTTGTATGTTAACAGAGAGGGTAATATAATCCGACAGCCGCACGGCCCCGCCCTTGTGCGCGAAGACCACTGCCTCCATGGCGCCGTTCGCGACGTCCATGGTCGCCGACGCGGCTCGCGCCTCCCGCACGCGCCGCCCGCCGACGTCCTACGCAGTCACGCGCCGGTACATGCCGCACAACACCATGAGGAACGCACGGCGATCTCAAGAAGTGGTAATCCATTCATCCATTACTGACAAGTATCGCAAACTATTCACGAGACACGAAAGGGAGTCTTTATTCTTTGCGGAAGGGTCTCCGTCTTCTGCTGACCCGTGGGCAAGGGCAAGGCTAAAGACTGCGAAGTCAGTTGCTACTATGGCGGATTGCACCCGTCCGTGGAGTATATCAGATGCTCGAACCATATTCACGCTTTTGACTCTTGATGTCAACACCAATCATGACCACGATTTGTTCATTTGTTCTGAATTAGTTGACGAGAAATCGTTAGAATTTTTGAGAGAACCATCACACCCCCGTAGACGTGGTGCAAGTCTGGGAGAGACGTCACGCCAAACGTCTGCCAATGTATCTCGCAGCCAATTTTCTGCATCTCCTGCACATTCCTCAGTTGCTTCTCCAGAGATTTCCTCCCGACTTGGGGAGCAACAAGATGCAGTTCAATCAATGCCTGCAGCAGTACTAGAAGCGAAGGTAGAGAATTGCCAGGGGCAGATCTACCAGGAGAACTGCCGCCGAAAGCAGCTTCAGGCACGGAACTCCATATCAATGTGCCAAGCCCACCAGGCGAAGATTCCACTACTAATAGTCGAGGTGCGGCAAATCCGGTGCATGTCGTCCTTACTTCAGCGAAGGACCGCAAGAAGTCTGCAGTAGCTGCAGTAGTCGGAAAGGGACACGGTTCTGTGAAGAGCGGAGAATCACGACATAGTAAGCAATTGAGACGAATGTCCTTTAGGTTGCTCGAGCCAGGAAACCTGGTTCCTGAGAATGGAGCAGCTGCAGTAGATCCATCAAATAAGCCCGGCGCGGCTCGAGCCAGGTGCAGCTCTCTGTTTTCACGGAGTCGGTATGCGTCCGGTGAGTTGCTTATTCATTCAAGTGCAATTAAGTTGCTTGTGCGAGAGTGTGTCGAGCCCGGATTTATCCATTTCTTTTCTGACATGCTGGGCACGGTACAACCAACTCCCAGCTTGAAAATCTGACTCGTTCAAATCCCAAAAACGCTCTTCAGGATGGACCGCGGTGCTGTTTTCAAAAATGGGCAACTGTTTTTACCCTACATCTCAGTATTTAGGTCTCTTATTCGTCATGGTGCAACACCACTTGGAATATATCGATCAGAAGATGCCCCTGTTCGAGTGCCCGGAAGACAGAGGCACCGGCGCGGAATGGCTCTCTTAGAAGAGCTAACGCTGTATTGGAAGGGACTTGCGAAGGCAGGTACTGCGTCTGTCACAAAGGGCCGTTTGTAACTGTTTCAGCACTTGCTAGGCATTGTAGAAGCTGTCTCACCCCAACACATGAGAGAGGCGCAAGGTCGACATGAGATCAACGGGGGTCAACAGGATTCAAGCACCAGTGATGAATACGACAGCGATTGAGGCACAAGTGGGGAAGATGACGAGAAGGAAAATATGGAAGGCAGACTCAAGGGGCTGTCAGTCGACAAACACCAAAAGAACCTCGAGGATAATACTGCTCCAGGTCCTGTTGGGGACACGGGTCCGAACCATGCAACGTCTCCTGCATTGCCGCAGAAAGGGGATTTATTCGAGAAACACATGGAGGCGGGAAAAGGGGAATATGAAGTACCGGGAGGGTGCAAGTACAAAGAGAGCCCGCCGGCACAAAAATTCCTCCCGTACGTATTTACTATGCCAGAACCGTGTACTTTACGTGCGGAAACCGATGGTATCTACATCCTGTGTCATCCGTCGCTGGAATTGTCGGACAGGTGGACGGAAGCCATTGCCAACGAAGGGGAAGACGAGTCTCAGGATCAATAGAGTTTACGCCAAACGGGTTTCTGTGTTTTTTCTTTCGGTTATCTTCAGATTCATCTCTAAATGTTAATCGGCCTCCGTATTTAGCGAAGCCTCCAGCCCTAATCCGTATGCGACATCCGATTCAAGGTGAGGATAATAGCTTCGTCTCGGCGAGAACTCGTCAAATTGCATCATTTAAACAGCGACGACCGTTTGTAATCGTGGAGGAATGCCCAATACGTGGGAGTTGACTACCAATTCGAAGCTCCTTTAGAGGAGTCCTGCAGCATCCACGGGTCTCTCCAATATTCACCCGCGAAAACAGCTTGATCTCCCATCTCTTCTTCAATTCGCAGTAGTTCGTTGTACTTGGCAAGCCGCTCGGATCGACAAGGTGCCCCCGCTTTAATTTGGCCGGTGCCGAGTCCTGCGCAGAGCGCTGCTATGAAAGCATCTTCCATCTCTCCAGACCTGTGGCTCACCATCACGCCGAAGCCCGCATTTCGTGAGAGATTGTTGGCCTCAATAGCTTCTGTCGCTGTTCCAATTTGATTCACTTTAAGCAGCAAGCCATTACAGGCACTCGTCTCGATAGCCCTTTCTATTCGTTCAGGATTTGTGACGAGTAGATCGTCTCCAACGATCTGAATTAACTCATTTAGTTCCCCAGTCATCTTTGCATATGACCTAAAGTCGTCTTGGTCGTGCAACCAGAGGCAGCGCGCGCACGACCCCACTGCGAGCGTGGACCTCTGCGATGGGCGCCCAGCAGCCCCTAGTCCGCGCACCGGAAGCGTACGAACGCAGGGTACTTTCGATTCCGCCAGCCTACACAGTCTGCGACTTGCCCCCCGCCACGCTTAGTGCCGTCTCAGACGCGCGCGCGCCCTCTGAGAGCACGCACTCCGAAGCGCCGCTGCCCGCATCAATGCGCACCGTCTTGTCATCCCCGCCGGACGCTGCTCCCTCGCCGCTGCGAGTGGGCAGCTATCCCCGGACGCCTCCCGCGATAGCGCAAGGGCAAGAATCTCACTCTCTTGCGCGTTGCTCACGACCTGCCGCACGCCCCGTGGTACAAATTCCCGCCCTAGGTGCACGCCCTCTCATCGCGCCACCTGCACCTATCCCTGAGGGACGGGTGCAGGTGCGGGCTGGAGTACTCCGGCGGAGTGAGACAGATGTGTAGTTGGAATGGGGCAGCCTGCGCCATTCCAATTCCGCACACGCGCGGAACGCAGACCGCAACAGATTGGACGTCTGCCGACGCCCACGCCTCTGCGCCTCCCTCGTCGCCCGCTTCGTCCGTTCTGACTCCCCGGGGCGCGGGTACCCCCTTCAGTCAGAGTTCCCATCAGTAGATTCTCCCGAACTACAATGCTGACCTACAGTATGCAACAAAGTGACCACCGGATATGGACGTTCTTTCCCTTTCCCCTTGATTACGGCCACAATTTTATCCCGCTTGTTAGAGATAGAGTTGATGTTAAGCGGGAGTAGGATCCCTTCATGTGCTGGACGCTCGTCATCCGGCAGGTTCTGGAATTCCCGGGCAACTCCCCTCGATATTTCGGACCACGTCCGCACATCACTTTCAAGCATTTCTCTTTCGCTGTTCGTTAGTTCATAAACAACCTGCGCTCTCTCGGTATCGCTTTCCAGGCAGTACTTGTGTAGTTTCATTAATAAACAGATAAGATTGGTACTCTTCTTAACTGAAAACTCCAATCCACCTCTCATAATCCTCCATCGCCCGACGAGCATTCCAAAAGCCTGCTCAATGTGCATGCGTAACGAGGATTGATAAAAGTTGAAGTTGTCCTGGTCACAGTCTGCTTCACTCTTAGGAAAGGGTGTGATCACCTGTTCCGTTCATGTGTAAGCCTCGTCTCCTACAATGTAGAAGATTTCTCCTAACACACCTTTTCTATTTCCCTCTTCAGTCCAGACACAGAGTATGCCAGAGCATCATGCGTGGAGCCGGTGCACAGAGCGGACCAAAAGCGGAAAATATAGCTCGAATCGCATAGCGCTTGAACAGGAATTGCGTAAAAGCCCTTGCGGGATTAAAACTGTGCAGGGTTCTCCTTTTTAGAAGGTTTCTTGACCTTGAAGCATATCCCATCCAGAGCGCCACGCATCCAGACAAGGGGCTTATTGGATTTGGAGAGGTTTGAAATTTATTCGCAATCTCCTGCAGTTCAGCAGTGGTTTCAGGAAAACCTTTCAAACGTAGGCGCTCGTTAAGGGCTCTGCAAGTGCTGTTGACAATGCTGTAAATGGTAGACCTCTGGATCTGATACGCAAGCACTAGGTCACAATAGCTCCCCCCTGCCAATAACCTCAGTGTCACTGCGAGCCTTTTGTCAGATGGAATAGTTCCCCTTCTGTACTCACTGGGGCCTTTGAAAGGCCTATCCAAAAGATATCGCACCAGGCTCAGGAGCGCACTGAATGCCGGAAGCGACATCCGGTAAGCCTTGCCGAACATTGGCGGGGAGAACCTCTTGACCACATCTTCAAAAGAAATCGTGTACATAAATGGGAGCTCGGTTCTCGGGTAGCTGGCTCAACGATGCTTGACCCTCGTTTCTGCTGAGATAAAAAGATTGCGGCCGCAATAGCTGAGTAGCCTTCCTCCTCGGACGAATACGAGCTCCCTGTCAATGCTTCGTCGCTACCAAGAGGACGAACTTTCAGCGTTTCAATAATTTTCTCAGCCTGGCTGAGGACGTTTTCGGCAATCGGAGTTTCGGTAGGGAAGCCCGACCGTGCCATCAAACGACGATCGTAAGGGAGGGAACCAACGGGCTGCCCTATACGTTTGTCGTAGACGAATTGAAGTCCGTCCGGAGCCATATTCATCGCAAAAGATTAGAGAGAAGGTGTCTATTGTAAATGAAGGTGAATAGATCTGCCGAGCTACACAGTGGCGCTGGAATGGTGATGAATATGGTACCGTCGCAAAAAAGAAGACCGTGGATTGAAGACATTTGGGAAACTGAATTTCTTCACCCGCCATGGGACGTAGAAATAGTTTGTATGCTCAGCCTTGGAACAAATCCCAAAAACGTTTCTCTGTCTGCTCTCCCTACAGGTACCGGAGAAAAGTTGTGGGTAGGCGGGACAACTCTCGTTAGGCCTGCATCGGGAACAGCAAGCATCCGATGGGTGAGATGGAGAATGTCGGAAACAGCTGAGCTCCTCGCGGTCCATGTCTCGTTTGTCCCACAGCCTTTTCCACGACGCCGCGACCTGCTTGTACTTGAAAAACAGACACGGCTCCTTTTCGTGGTGCGGGGGACGGATCTGCAGATAGCACTTGGTGCAAAGACGCCGTGGCAGCAAAGACCCTCGTTCAGGACGGGGTACAGAAGTTTGCGGATAGGGCATTCTCCGCGCATCGATTTTGAATGCTCGTCGATACCGGGGTGACGAGATGCGAGCCCTCGGCGGAGAATGAGACGCCGCACCGTTTTCGTGGTGCCACTGACAAGTGGGGTACAAGCCATTCTGTTCGAGATATTGCATCTCTTAGGGAGGAGGAGTCCTGGAAATGCGGGGCGGAGAGGGCGAGGCGGTGGGGAAGGTGAGCACCCGGCGGCAGGGATGAAGAGTTGCTCATAATGAATTGGGGTTGAAAGACAGGTGTGACAAGGGACGGAGTGGAGTTGAATGGGGATGGAGGGGGAAGGAATGTATACTCCAGAGGAAGGAATGTATACAAGATCGAAGGATGAAGAAATGGCGTATGTGTGGAGGCAGAGCGGGGGAGGGGGTGTGGGCGGGAGGGCGGAGCGAGGGCGGAGAGATGAGAGGGGTAAGAGTTGTAGATGAGCGTGTGTGGTGAAAAGGAGGCGCGGGGATGTGTGCGTGTATGTACGGTGATACATTGAAGGAGAGCGTAACATGGAAGAGGGCACACAACTGAAATTTTGTTGTGTTGACCGTGTCGCGAAAGACGAGATCCTGATTTCCGCACACTTCATAATTACAGCTCGATTATTTTATGTACTTCAAAAAAAGTGTCCACGACCGCCCAAAACGAGGCTGTCCAAGGCCGTCCAAACTGTCTTAAGACAGAGCCTCACTTTTCAGCTGTACTCGTACGCGTTATTACTCATACTGTACTCGTCGTTTTTGTGTACACAAAATCGACAAGTTCAGGTACAGCATATACAGTAGTTAAGGTGAGAGGAAGATATTCTAGGCGCAGCACCTTACTTTTGATCTGAGCAAAGTTCAGTTCATAGAGTCGCAAAACAAACCTCAACTCGATGAAAACGTTAGCACAACGCATCTCGAAAAGCCCTTTTATGTGACCAGGATGAACCTGCTTGGGCCAACCTTACCATACAGCAAAGAAGAGGGTGCCCTCTTCCAATCCCTATCGGCTTCACACACCGAATTTCCCATGAGGGCTCCATGACCGACTAATCCTCCGTAAGTGCTCCATGAGAGAGCAAAATGTGACGAAGACGGGAATGGGGTGCATCGTCATCGTCCCATCCTGGCCGAAAATCACACAGCAATGTCTACAACAATGCCAGATCGTCTCCTGGGCACGTGTAGACACCAACAAGGATGTCTCAACATTCTTTGCCTAGACGTTTTCGCAGAAACAAGTGTTCACCTCTGCAAACAGCCGTGCGGACAGCACCACCCCGTTCCCCTCGTTACACGTGTTCACTTCTGTAAACAGAAGATACTTTACAGAAGTGAACACTTGTAACGAGCCGTCCCCTTTTCTTGCTGCACGTAGATTCTCTGCGATGCACGCATTGCGAGTCCTAGACGTTTCCGCAGAAAGAAAAAGGAAACAAAAAGAAAGGTTTCTATTGCAATTCCTGAAAAGTATTGAATACACTACAGTGTCGGGGTGTGACTATACAGTATAAACCTTTCGGGCGGGTTGGCGCCAAGACTTCGATTCAACATATCACTTGAACAGTACGCCACCCTGTGCTGTCACCATGGCCTGCGTATCATCACTCTTCTCAATTGTGCGCAAGTACAATTCCGTAGCGCGAACTTAATTCGCCTCGAATCCCTCCGCACCATCTAGCAGCAGATTGGCGAGAAGCACCATGGCACCAACATCGTCGTGTTCCTCAATCGCATCCTCAAACAGTTTCACAGCGCGCGGTGCGTCCCGCACAACACCGTCTCTTCCATCCCTTACTAAGATTGCTAGGTTGAACATAGCGTCGCAATCATGAGCCTTCTCGATGGCGTTCTCGAACAACTTGGCAGCACGAGCTGAATTTTGCCGAGGTTGACAATTGCGCCACTGTGACCGTGCCCCCCCTCAAACACTACCCTTCACCCTTCAAGGGTAGCTCGTACCGAGCATCAGTTTACCAATAGCAGCCCCAGAGAGCATGAAACAGGACGAGAAGGCGGCCTCCGAGCAGAGCAGCCTCACCAGTCGTCAGCATGCCAACGACGGCAACACCCTGTTCAGGCTAGGCAACCTAGCGAGGCACGGAAGGGATAGAGTACAAAAATGGTGTCGCAGGCGCTGTGAAGCTCTACGAGGCCAAGTTATTCCGCTGTTTCCCTCGCAAGACGTACATGTACCCTCCTTGCCATGCTCGGTGTGCTTTTCACCCAACACGCGCTCTTATTCCCTGGCACATCTCTCAACCGACACCTTTCCTCTCTCCGGTCTCCCGACGCCTGTCTCCCCTCGTAAACCTATTCGCGGTGTCACAAACGCCTCTTTTTCCGCACACCGGCAACCTCGAAAACGCCCGTGGCGTTTCCATCACCTTTTTTTCGGCCATAATTCACTTCTTTCTTTCGTCAATCTCTTCCGCCTCTTTCCCCTGCCCCTGCATACACTCCCACGGCCACGCCTCGCACACACCTTCCAACTTCCCGCCCAAGAGCGGGAGCTCGGTCGGACGTAAGACGGAAAATTCCATCTTGTAAAACTCGATTTTCGGTCGCGTAACGGGCGGGCATGGCCCAAGGATTGGCTCCTCGACGTTTCCGGGCTTGGCTCCGACGACGATAAGGACGCATCCGCGGACGGAGACGCCCGAGTCGTAGGGATCTGCCGGCCCTTCAGGCATGCCATCAGCGTTGTAGTACTGCGGCTTCATCTAGGGAACTTCACGCAGGCGATCTTCGTATTCTCTTCGCCATCGGCGGGGTCCCCGCGAACGATGGAAGTGGTCATATTCTGGAACAGCTCCTCAAAGGAGACGTTGACTTGGCCGATGGGTTGGTCCTCGCGGAAGGGGTCTTGCAACCACTCGTTTGGGCGGGTAGAAATACATATCTCTTTGAAGGATGTGACGGGATGGGTCATATCAAGGAAGCATTATAAGTAGAACTTCAAATCTATCGGATTGTGAGCAAGAGATTTCGGCCCGGAGGCAGCTGGCGTGACAGCCGGGGGCAAATCGGGGCTCTGAGGAAAGGGCTGTTTCTCCGAGAATGGCGGTGAGAAGGGAGAACCGGACCCGAGCACGCCATTGATGGGACCTTCATCAATTCCAAAAGTAACACCTCTTGTGGGACTTATAATTGAAGCTACGGACTTCAGGTACTTTGTGTCGATGCTCAGCCTTCTGCTGGCTTCCTTCACGGCGCCAATCTCCTCAGCTCTCGCGCCTACGCTCTTCTGCCAGAAAAACACGGCCCCCACCTTTTCCAGCGGCACGCACAGCTCACAGCAAACGCACATATCTGCCAACGACCGTGCCACGACCGCGTCATACCGGCCCGATGCATCCTACTCTACCCGACCTTCTCCGTCCTCCCCCACACGGACGTGACGTTTTGCAGGGCCAGCTCGCGCTCTACGATGTCATGGAGGCGCGTATTCTTACGCGCGGCCTCGAGCAGCGTGACGTCCCACTGCGGCCTCGCGATGGCCAGGACGAGCCCTGGGAACTTCGCACCTGTGCCGACGTCCACGACGCGCAGCGCGCTGGGCTCGGCGGGCTGCATTCACCCCTGCACATCACTTCTGCGAACAGCCGTTACAGCATTGGGGTGTGACTGTACAGCTCTGCGAACAGCCGTGCGGACAGGACCACCCCGTTCCCCTCATAAAGAGAAGTGAACTCGTGTACTTTACTACTTTACAGAAAAGTTCAGCACCACCCCGTTCCCGTCATAAAGGCTCATAAAGAGAAGTGAACACGTGTGTTTTACAGAAAAGTGAACACGTGTAACAAGCCGTCCCCTTTTTCTTGCTTACACCTAGACTAGACTAACGTCTAGGAATAATAACGTCTAGGAACACGTACAGTACTCAGTTTAATATGATTACTGTAGGAGAGACTCATGATTCTGGTCAGGTTTACTGACGGCCCTCTGAGGGGGAGGAGGAGCGACGACGGTGCTAAGTACTGGGAGCTGTGTACACATGTAGCATACGACAATTTCAGTGGTGGAAACTCCGTCGCCGGTGAGTGGCTGTGCGAAGTGTGGTACTTGTGTGCGTGTGCACGTGTACGGGTATCATCACAGGGTGGATCCACCTTCACCAGGACGGGGAGTTGGTGGGGATACAAGTACAGGAGGGGGTGGGTACAAGTGGGACAAGTCGGGTATAACCCGGGACATGTATTTTTTAATTCAATTAAATATTTCGTCTGAAAACAGCTCTCCCTGACCGACTTTCGGCTCAACGGTTCTCCGTTGTAGCTGAACGGCTCCATGAAAGTAAAAGCTAAATACATACAACGCTTGATGAGACAGTCTCTTTACAGTTCTCGCGAAGAACTGAGAACGATAATGCAAAAGTACAGGTGATACGGGCCACACAACATGGATATCAAAGCATACTTCGCGGCAAAGCGAAACAGGACCGGAAAGAATCCAAAGAACGGAAGTCCATTCCGCGGGAAACAGTAAATGTAAGAATATAATGCATATAATAGTGGAGCATTGCGAAGCATAACGGCTCTGTCCCGTGATATTGGTACGTCATTGCCTCGCGATTACAAAGGCTAGCGGTATCAGAAGCGTCAAGAAGCTCGGCTCCGCGCTGCATTGAATGCCGACAAACAAGGCCTGCCAGTCTGCAAAGCCCCCCGCATTGCGCAACTCAGCAAGTCCGCTTTTCATGGGCGTGGGAACAGCATGATTGGACAGGACCATCCGGCCACCTCATCAGCCAAACGCGGCCAGAATTGCGCGCTGTTGGACGAAGAAGAAGCTACCATCTGCCAACTGCTTGTTCGTGAAGCAGACCGCGGGCGTCCCTTCACTCGGCGGGACCTCAATGACGCTTTTTACATGTTTGCATCTGCGTTGAGTGTTGAGCGACAGGCAAAACTTCCGTTCGACAACCTCACCCCAGGAAGGGATTTTCTACGGAACTTCTTGAAACGGAACGCCGAAATGATTCGCTTGGGCCGTCCCGCAAAAGAGACTGAAGAGCGACAGAGAGCGTGCAATGCCCCATACGCTAACAACGCATCTAGCCTCTTTGGAGAACGTCCTGGTGGAAAATGGAATCACTGCTTCACAGGTGTAGAACCTAGATGACACCGGAGTTGCTCCGAGCCGCGATACGGCCAAGCATACATGCCAAAAGATGCTTCTGCGCACGTCTATGTCCAAGACCACCCAAGTGCGCACCACCCATTTTAAGAATGTCGACAGGATAACGATGATGGCGACTGTATGCGCAGATCGTTCATCATTCCTCCGTTTTTTGTGTTGAAAGCAATGCGCATTCCGTACAGGGAAATCGTCGTCGACAACCGATACGAGATGGAATCAGTCTTTGATTGCCTCCCGGACGGCTCACTGCTGACGGTTTGCAACGAAACCGCTTCTGTGGATCAGTGGAATTTTGCGAATTGGGCTAGACATTTCGTAACTGCGATGAGGCCGAAGACCATGAATGGGCGCAAGGTGCTCCTCACCTACGATGGATATCGATGTCACATTACTCTGCGAGCGCTGGATATTCTGAGCAAGGGCGGTATTATCGCGTATTACCTCCCGGCCCATACGAGTGGAAGAACACAGCCGTTAGACGTTGGAATATACGGCCCGTTAAGTCCCGCTTGCATGACGAGGTCCATACCGCAGAGCAGTGTGGGTATGGTTCGGAGTTCGACCAGTTCGATTTACTCCATATGATTACACGGGCATACGCGGCGTCGTTCACGAAGACCAATACTCGGTCTTCATTCCGGAAGTCTGGTTTGTGGTCCTTTGACGGATCCGCTATCCTTGGGGTTCCACGCCCTGCTATTGCATTCGAGCCCGATGCAATGATTACTGCGGACCAACTCTCTGCGATGCTGGATGCGAAGCAAGTGCAGGTGCGTGAGGGGAATTGTCTACAGCCAATTGAAATAAGAAGAGATTTTTTGAACAGTACGCATGGTCTCGTGGTTTCGCAGGAGGAGGCCATACGTGACATTGCTGAGAAGGAGTCAACAGAGCGCCGCAAGAATACGCAAAAGGCCTCAAAGGAGGCCGACGAGGAGATAGCCTATGCGAAACAGCGCAAATTGAAGCGCACGGCTCGCAGGGAGTTTGAGATGTCCGGTATGAAGCGTGGCGTCCTTGCGTACGGCGATGCTGCTGTTCTGCCTCGCTCTTTCAAAGTTCGCGCAGCAGTCGCAAAGGACATGAAATCCAAGATTGGCCCAGTGATCGATTAAAAATTGCACGATAATTTGCATTCTGCAAATTTTACCGCAGTCCCACTTGTTGCCGACTTTTCGTCTAAATATTGCCCGGACTTTGCACTAGTGTTGCTGGCTACCCAAATGTCCATTGCCAACTATTTCAAAGAGTCATACAGGCCCATGAAAGAGCTTTCTAACCATATAAATTTCAGATTATACGGACGCCCAGAGGACAAATACTTCTTCCATCTTTCGATTTGTCCCATTTAAGGGCCCCCCTTCCTGTACTGTACTGGGTGCAGCCAGAATGTAGGAGAGACTCAAGACTTTGGTCGGGTTTACTAGTGGGAGGAGCGACGACGGTGTTAAGTACTGTAGGTGAGCTATGTACACGTGTAAGACAGGACACAGAAATTACCGCTCTACCATTCTTTGCGATGCACGCATCGCGAGTCGTAGACGTTTCCGCAGAAAGAAAAAGGAAACAAAAAGAAAGGTTTCTATTGCAATTCCTGAAAAATATTGAATACATTACAGTATTGGGGTGTGACTGTACCCTTCTCACAGGCTCAATCTGTGACAAGGCTCAAATTGTGACACCGAGTTCTATGTCGTTGCGCAAGCTCGACATTGTATGCCACCAAGGGCTCCAGCACTATAACAAGTGTCGCGAATGCATCTTCCAACGAATGCAACGCCTGCAAGACGAGGCGGGGCTCATGCTTGCCCGCTCCTGCCCACACCTCATCGAGTTTGGCTCGCTCCGCAAATGTTCGTCCCGTTGTAGTGGAGGAAGCAAGTTCAGCCCTTTTTGGAGGATCTGGGAAACGCTGCCGAATATTCGCACGGCCACTCTCCAAGGATACTATTTCCGCAGTTGCGGCATCGAGCCTCGCGTGCTTGATCGTTTGAAAGCTCTGGAGTCGGTTCGGATTAAGGATATGTTAGAGCATGCTGCGCTTCTCGGTCCCGTCGTCACGAGCATATCAGATCGATTCCAACGCAGTGGCGACGATCCCAGTATACGCGCGCTTTCAAAATGCGTCGGATTATCTGACTTGCGGCTAAGCTTAAGGCCTGACGACCGCGACCTTCGTGCGCTCAATCATGCAGTGCACTTCATGCCGGTACTAAAGTACTTGAGTCTCAGATGGGCTTGTGGCCTGCAAGGAACGAATTTCTTAAAGTGCAGATATATCAAGACAGCTCGAGATGGGAACATCAGCACAGGTGTGGCCGTCTTCCCAGAGTTCCATGTGGAAACGGTTGAGTCAGTCATGCAGCTTGTGCGACAGACGCCTGTATTGGAAAGTTTGGAGCTTTTAGATGTGCGCATTCCCACAGAAGGGGTTGTCGATGTCTTGAGGCATCTTGGAAATCGGTTGAAGCATTTTGGAGTCTCTTTGAGCAGACAGGCCGACTCGAGTTTCGAGCGCTTCCAAATCCTGATTGCGACGATTTGTAAATATAACTGTAGGTTGGAGTCGGTCTCATCGGGGCTACGGGGTACGGCAGCAAATGCGCTTTCCCTGCAAAATGTCAAAAGGGTGCATCTTTCGGAAGCCAATGTGGGCCTTCTCGAAGAACGGAAAGGAAAGCTGGATGAAATGTTGCGGTCCGTGAGCCGGTGGGTCCCGTTTTTGAACCCGAGCAGTCTCAAAAGCTGGTTAGATGATGTGTCATGGATTGAGGTCAAGTATTCTGCTGTACATGTATGGTAGAAGTACAGCTATGTAGACAGCACGTCCTACTTCCCATCAGTGCGCTGCAGCATTTGGCGAAAGGCAGCAGTTGATGGTTGGTCCGAAGGGTAAAGGCAGGGCGGCACAAATGAACTAGCAGGTTGCGTCTACAAATGAAGTCGTAGGCTGCAGCCCGCTCGCTGCCGAGATGGATGGTGACCTCGGCCAGAACCAGTGGGTACACTTAAGGAAGATTCTGTACGACTAGGAGATGCGGTAATTGACACCCAGTACAGGTGACTACAGCATTCGGACGTGGGCAGCTCAACCTCGGGAATGCACCAAGGGAGCATGTAAAGGCACAGAACGGTACGGTACTATTGTACACTTGAGACGAATGTACGGCATGTGCCGTGCATCGGGCGATCAGAGGAGGAGGCGGGAGGTATGATGATGGCAAGATTGGGAAGAAGGTCGGATGCCCAAAGAGAAACGGGGGAAAGGTACCAATCAAACTCGATACTGACGAGGAGCGTCTTGCCCAGAAAGGGGGTTAGGGCACGTTCACGCCGTTGTGGTAGTTGAAGTAGTGAAGTATCATACGGACTCCAAGGTGTGGTAATTCACCAACCATTGTTCAATTTCATAAAGTTGCATTTGCATGAAGGATTTGAAACATCAGGAGTACACTTTTACCTCCAGCACCCTCGGTCCGGGTAACATAAATGTACTCTAGCGATACTTTGTTTCCAGGCAGAGTAGCCGACTTTCCTTACCCGAATCCATCGGTCGCCCAGTTTAGCCCATCCCTCAGTCGGCCTCCGACAGCTCCGCCGCACCGGCTTACCACTCGCCTCGTGACCGTGGCCGCAGCGGCCTCAAGTGGGGAACAGCAACATAAGATCCTTCACACCGTGTTCACACCGTGTGGCAACACGCCCGCCGACGCCCGCCAAAATCGGGTCCCCTCCCACAGATTCTTCTCGGTCTCATTGCAAATATTTCCTACATTCCACGCCCGCCGCCCCCAACGCACCATCTTCGTCTGCAGGGCTCCGTGGCTCACCGCCTGCCGCATCCCTTTTGCCGTCTCGCTGCCGACTCAGTGCGCGCGTCACGTGCTGCGACCCACATGCCGCGCGCCGCCGCATCGGCGCGTGGCCCTGCGCGCTTGCGTTACCCAGCGAAGCATCGCCCCCGCGCTCGCAGTGCTGCGCCGCGCCGCCGACTCGCAGCACCTGGACGTGGCGCCGCTCAACGGCCCCGTGCGCCTGACGGATCTGTTTTTCAGCGAGAGCAAGCGGTCCAACCTCACGGCGATCAGAACGCCGTGTTCCTCAAGACCGTTGAGGACGCGCTGCGCCGGCTACTGGCGCTAGAGGGGGAGGCCGCTGTCGCGCCCCCGCGCAGTGCGCGTCGTTGACCTCGGCACGGGTGCGAGGTTCCCGGGGCTCGTCCTGGCCATGACGAGGCCGCAGTGGGAGGTCACGCTGCTCGAGGCCGCGCGCAAGAAGACGCGCTTCCATGACCTGGTGGAGCGTGAGCTGACCCTGCCCAACGGCGCGTCCGTGTAGGGGAGGGCAGGGAAGGTCGGGCAGGGTAAGATGCATCGGGGACGGTATGACGCGGTCGTGGCACGGTCGTTGGCGGAAATGCGCATCTGCTGCGAACTGTGTGTGCTGCTGGCAAAGGTGGGGGGGCGCGTTTTCACGCAAAAAAGCGTGGGCGTGGGCGCTGAGGCGGTGGCCGCCGCGAAGGGAGCTATCAGAAGGCTGGGCGGGAAGCTGGAAGGTGTGCGCGAGGCGTGGCCGTGGGGGTGGATGTAGGGGCAGGGAGAAGAGGCGGAAGAGGTTGACGGAAGGAAAAAGTGTATTGTGGCCGTAAGAAAGGTGAAGGCAACGGCACGGGCGTTTCCGAGGTTGCCGGGGGCGCCGAAGAAAACGCCTTTGTGGGACCGCGAATAGGTTTGCGAGGGGAGAAAGGCGTCGGGAGACCGGAGAGAGGAAAGGTGTCGTTTGAGAGATGTTGCAGGGAATAGGAGCGCGTGTTGGGTGAAAAGCACATCGAGCATTGCAAGGGGCGTACATGGACGTCTTGCGAGAAGAAGAGCGCAAGCGCGTTGCGAAAGGCACAGTTCTCTGTGGCGATGTGACAGACGAAGTAAGAAGTTGCACAGCGGCCCCGATCGAGAGTTGTGAGGCCATTGAGAATTGGTTTATCTCGAGACATTGAACAAGGTTTACTAACCATGGGAATGTTTTTTGTGCTCAGCGGACACAACATCGCATTCCACACGCCCATTGTCAGCAATGCATGCGGCCGGTGCAATTTGCAGATGTGAGCGAGTCTTCGGGCGTCCCTCTCAGCCGGCACCTAAGTCTCATCGGGTATCTTTTTACTGTGTTCGTCAAAGACGAAAATACAAATCAAATCCTACGCGGTGGCCCTAACATCTGCACGGCAGACGCGAATGAGGGAGAGCCCGTCCACGGCCGTACAGGCACAGACAAGCACTGCACGCCTCTTGATCCTCGTTTGGAGGGGCGGAATCCTCTAAAAGCGCCCGTACCCAACGTTTATCACATTCAGGAATTTAATGTAGAGAATGATACTGCAAACAAAAAAATATTGACTCTCAGAAACGTCTGAAAGCGCAGTCTGCAGTGTCGCCTCTCGAAGACATAGTTTGCGACGACTTGCCAATTTCGCAATGGCCAAGAGCCCGAAAACAGCGGATGCAGGTTGAGGAAGGCGAGTTGTTGAGGACCCGCAAGCACACGGCAGCGTCGCATTTGTTGGGTCTCTCCCATTACAGATGAAGCGTGCAAGACATGAAATTTCTCGTCGTCCCACTTTGACCCCGGCACACTTCGGAGACCAACTCTCCCATCCAAATAAAAGCAATTTTCTTCGAATACGCACTGCATTCGCATATTTATCATAACTTCTTATGCGTCCCACATTGAGCCTGTGAGAAGGGTACAGTATAAACCTTTCGGGCGGGTTGGCGCCAAGACTTCGGTTCAACTTATGACCTGAGCAGTACCGAGTGGTACCCTTCTGCGAACAACCGTGCGGACAGCACCACCACGTTCCCCTCATAAAGAGAAGTGAACACGTGTACTTTACTACTTTACAGAAGAAAAGTTCAGCACCACCCCGTTCCCCTCACACCCCGTTCCCCTCATAAGGAGAAGTGAACACGTGTACTTTACCACTTTACAGAAGAAAAGTTCAGCACCACCCCGTTCCCCTCACACCCCGTTCCCCTCATAAGGAGAAGTGAACACGTGTACTTTACAGAAAAAAAGTGAACACGTGTAATAACGAGTCCCCTTTTTTCTTGCTTACACCTAGATTAACGTCTAGGAATTCTTTGCGATGCACGCATCCCGAGTCCTAGACGTTTCCGCGGAAAGAAAAAGGAAACAAAAAGAAAGGTTTCTATTGCAATTCCTGAAAAATATTGAATACATTACAGTATTGGGATGTGACTGTACAGTATAAACCTTTCGGGCGGGGTGGGGCCAAGACTTCGGTTCAACTTATGACCTGAACAGTATCCAAGGGTACACCTCTGCGAACAGCCGTGCGGACAGCACCACTCCGTTCCCCTCACAAAGAGAAGTGCGAAAAAAAAGAAACAGAAGAAAAATTTATTGCAGAAAAAAAAGTTCACCACCACCCCGTGATCGTGGTGATCTGATCGCTATTGTACGTCTGCAACGTGTGTGCATATGGCTCTCATGACAGTTTCTTAAATAAAAAGGCAATCCAGCTGTATCATCAAGTACTAATAAATGGGTCACTTTGAGAGATTTTGAAATATTTTTTGGATGGAATCCACTATATGCCTTCAAAAGTCGTTTATGTGCCCCTTACAGCCGGTTAAGTAAGCCACAGGTCTCGAACTGCGAATCCGGCGCAGCAAAAGTCCCATAAACACCGTCAATACAAGGCAGTTCGGTATCCTCTTAGGAGCCCTACAACGCACAAATAATGGGTCAAATGTTGCGTGCCGAAGCAAAAAAAACTATCAATTTTAATGGCCACCTTCAGTACCCGCGCGGCGCTGAAGTGCTCGTAGCCTCGCTTCAGTTCTGCGAGAGGCGCGGTTTGCAGCAAGGACTACAGTGCGCTCACTGCGATGCGCCAGCCAAAGCTGATGCGCACGTTTGGAGTGACTTTACAAAATGTTGCACCAAATCCTTGAAGCAGCTGCGTGATAGTGGCGTTCCGCTGTGTGAGAATGACAGTAGTGCATTTTTGATGATGGTCTCTTCATCTCGAGTAAAGAGGGGTTTGCGGCCTCGTCTCTGAAGTGCTTTGTTCGTTTGTTTGCTCATCCGCTGAAATGTTGAATATGACACACAATGTGACTTCGCACATTTGCGTATTGAGATGTTGGAGGTTCGTAGACTGTGAAGGGCTTTTTCGTACTGCTCGCTTCGTGCATCAGGTTTTGGAGCGAGTACGCGTTTTGGGATCATCCAGGCTACCGAGGATGCGAATGACAAAAGGAGAGAAGTGACGAAGTCGCGAGGCTGCTGTGGCGGATTGTGAAGGGAAATCGAGGCACAAAGTTGGTGATCGATCGAATGAAGCCCGCCAAAAAGGCACGTCTTGTCAGATTTGAAATCGTATGAGCCGTTCTGACGGCAGGCGAACTACAGTGTTTCGAAGGCTGTTTGAAATGGCGCATTTAGATAATTTTAATTGCCAAAGCGACCCAAATTAGTCCTCTGACCCAGATTTAGTGCACCCGATGATACCCTTTAGGGAACCCTTCGGTACAGTCCACAACTACTAAAATCCGTGTCTGTGTGTCTGTCTGTATGTCCTTGCGCTTCCGCGTTGCCATTGGCGCACGGGGGCGGCGCTGCGGTGACAAGTGGCGGCCACGTGCGGGGCATCCTGGCCGCAGGCCAGGCCGCCACGGGGACGCGTGTCGTGACAAGTGGCGCGCCCCGGGTGACAAGTGGCGACACGTGGCCAGTGGCGGCCACGCTGAGTCACAAATGGCGACACCTGGCGGTAAAATTAATTTTATTTTGAATTTCGAACTGTTACACCAATGCGGCACTACAGTAGCGTGCCAGTGACAAGTGGCGACACGTGGCGCCGCCCCTGGTGACAAGTGGCGGTGAGGCGAAAGCGCGCACGAATAGAAACGTTTTTTACATAGCCGCACGTCGGCAGCACAGTACCGGCTTTCGAGTTCAACAACTTTCAGCAATTTTTCACCACGTGACGGTTCCCTGGTAGCGTGGTGACCAGAGTCTGGGCAAGGCACCGATCGTGATTCTATGCCGGCTTAGTAGTGGGTTGAATACGGCATTCCCCGCGAAAAGTTTACCGGATTGCTTGACGGCATCCGGATAGTCCCTAGGTGCTATTGCGCTTTGCTTTTAGTAAAGCGTGGTAGTCTGTTGCTGTGCAGGAAGCCTAATCTGATAGCACACCATTTCTTGGTGTTGTAGTATCGGGCTCGGAACAACGGCCTCCGCAGAGCAATCTGCGGACGTCGGACTGACGTTGTTTTCAACGTCGACAACGAAGATCAAACGCAGCCTCCGTCAAACTATAGAGGCTGCAAGAAGACCCAGTGTAGGTGCCGTTAGGGCTTGGGAAACCTAACCACCGCACTGAGAGAAAAGGGAGCGCGCGTACATAGCGACCCCGGCGGGAAGAGCCTTGCAAGAGGTTCTTTCTAATACCGGGCTCCCTGGGAGTAGAAATAGACAAGGTGGTCGTACTCTGAGTATTAATACTGTACCCTGTGTATAGTAGGACCATTAGTCTATTTCTATTTCTATTTCGTTTTTGGTTCTTTTGAATCACGGGATAGTACAAGACAATAAAGGCCCTATATTGTTACTCTTTTGCTAAGTGCTCTTGCGCACGACCTAGCTGGCTGACGTTGCGTTTAGACCTTTGAGGACTGCTTGCTACGACTCATAGCGATCTACAACGGACCCCTCGCACTTGCGTCAACCCTAGCTGCACTTGCAGGGATAACACTAGCGCGCCGAGCAGAACATAAATGGCGGGAACAGCGGGCGAAGACGTGGCAGAAGCAAGGCGGCAGCAAAAAAACGCGCGTGCAAGGGAAAGAAGAGCGCAAGAGTCTGAATCTGACGCTCAAGCACGTCGTGAGGCACGTCGAGCCCGTGCGAGAATCGGGACGGGGCAACGAACCGAATCTCAGAGGGAAGCGCGTCGTCAAGCCAACCGTGAACGTACTGCAGCACGAAGAGCAGCAGAGACGTCTCAGCAGCGCGAGGAGCGTCTCCGTCGACTGAGAGAGAGAGCCAGGGCGCGCAGAGCGGGAGAAACCACCCCCCTCCGAAATGCGCGGCGCGAAGCGGATTGCATTGCGACACGAGGCGCTAGAGCGGAGGAATGTACTCCTATTCGTGAGGAACGGCGAGAATCGGATCTTATTGCAACGCAAAGAGGCCGAGCCGAGGAAAATACTCCACTGAGATCTTCGAGACAGGAGTCGAATCGCTTGGCAATGCGACAAGCGAGAGCTGTGGATATATCCCCCGTCATAGCTGCGCGGCAAAGATCCGACCGCCAGGCTCGAAGTGCCTCTCCACAGCTCTGCCCTCCACTACCCGAGTCCTCTCCTTCGTACGGCGATCTCGGCATGATCCGTGTTTAGTGTTCGCACTGCAAAGCTCTGCATTTCGTCCAAGAACGCATCGGGAGCAGCTCTGCCGCAAGGCCCATTTTTTCCACATGCTGTGGGAAGGGGAAGCTGTCATTGCCGCTTCTCCCCGACCCGTCAGCTCTTCTGCGCTCTCTTCTCATCGATGATACTCCAAGGGCCCGCAGCTTCCGTAAGAACATTCGAGCATACAATGTAGCGCTATCGATGGCATCCGTGGTCGCCAAATGGGTGAACAGAGGTCCCGGTCCTTCTAATTTTAACCCCACAATGACGATGCAGGGCGGGATGTACCATTACATGGGTCCCATGATGCCATCCAAAGGGCGGGCACCTTCCTATGCTTCCGTTTACATTCATGACACTGACTACGCCACCCAGACGCGCACAAGGCTTGGAAACTCTAGACAACTGGAAGAGGCACTGATGACGCAACTGACACACATGCTGCACGAATGCAACCACTACGTGCAGACTTTTCTGTGTGTGCGAGAATGGGCTCAATCTCCTCACAACAACACTCCTGCCACGTACCAGATGGTCATCCATGCCAACCGCAGGCCAAGTCATGACCACGTGCGCCGGTACAATGGTCCCGAAGCTTCTGAAGTCGCCGCATTGATCCCTGGAAATGGAGACGGAGAGATTGGGCGAAGAGATATCGTCGTGCGCAGGAGAGGGACTTTGAACGGTAACGGGAACGAAGTGCTGGATCCGAATTCAGTCAGTCATCGCGCATACGATCCATTGAGTTACGTGCTTTTGTTCCCGAACGGTAGAGATGGATGGTATCCAGAGCTTCGATTCTCCAGTGTTCAAGACGGCAGACGTACCAAGATTACTCCGATGATGTACTACGGATGGCATTTGTTCGAAAGAGCAGGCGAGTTCAGCACAATCTTGCACGCAGCACGACTCTTTCAACAATACTTGGTTGACCAGTTCTGCAAAGTGGAGGCAGAAAGGCTTTCTTATC